GAGGAGTGTGAAGGTAGCAACTGGAGGTAGATGGCAATACTGCCTTGTACTGCACAAAGGGTTACTTCAAAAAAGTAACCCATCATCAAATTTAAGAGTGATGATGAAGAGCTTTATAGATAATTGTATATAGTAATGTGAAAAATACCATTGTTACAAATTAGTAATAGTGGTGTGGTTAGGTAATTAGATTTCTTAATTTATTAGTTACTTTTTAATGTGTTGCATAAGCAATAAACATTATAGTCTCTTAAATCAGTTATTCTCAATCCTGCAATTTAAAGAAGAATGGGACTGGAACTAACAAATAAGTAGTAAAAAAAGTATCCCATGAAGTAATAAATTACATAGGCAACAACCTGAAATTACAACATGACACTGAAAGGTGCATCATATTAATGTGAGGAAAGCAAAATCACATACTATAATCAGGTCTAGCTAGCCAGGCAACAACACAGCAGAAAAGTTTATGGGGATTACATTATATCACAAACTAAAAAGACTCTGATGGCATTGCAAGAAGACATAAAACCTGTAACAGATTTTTTTTTTCTTTTTAAAAAGACAGAAGTGTTGTTTGCATGTGATATTAAAAGGAATTAATTTATGCTATTTGGCTCAAATGAAGTCTCACCTAAAATACTATACACAGTTTGGGACAGGACCTTTTAAAGATAATTTAGGCAAAAGGCAATCCAGAGGAGATCAGAAAAATAGTAAGAGCTTTAAAAAACATAAATCCAGGCCCTTCAACCTTTTCTTGCAAGCTATTTAGTCAAGAGGAAACTTTTTGTAAAGCATAATGGTTTTTCAAGTTGTAAGAGTAACACTGTTACTGCTGTAAGGGTCTAGAGACCTACACAGGATATGGTTTACAGGTAAACATACTTTATTAGCCCAATTACCATATGGAGGGAGGAGGAGTTAAGTAGGCAAATGACTATAAAAGAGCCTTTGGGCATCTTGCCTTCTTCTTACCTCAGCTATGTAAGTTTGGCTACTAAAGAGCTATTGTTCTACCTGCAGATCTTGTATTTCTAATTTGTAAAACATTTTTCGAGACAGCAAAAAATTCAGCTATCTTTCACAGAGAAGCCTTAAAGAATAAGAAAACAAGATCTAACGGTCAACAACGATAATTTAGGCTGGATATTAGAAAAACAATTTCTAGCTGCTTGGGAATTGAAAAAACACAGGAACAAATTAATGCATTAAATTGCAATAATTTACTTTGTTTGGGATACTAGGAATAGGCTACAAATCTTCTCCATCATGGAAAGTGTAAGCATATTTAACCTTACCTCACTGAAGACAGTAAAGAGACAGATCACTTCCCAATTCTATAATACAATACTCAGCTTTCTAAAACTGTGTCATCTAGTGGTCATAATTAAGAAAAAAAATACTGGTGATAATCTCAAATGCAAGAAAAAGTAGCAAGAATATTTTAACAATACTTTTTAATAAGTAGTCATTCATTACTTGCATTTACTGATTTTCAAATAAGAAAATATACATGAGAATAATTATAGATTTAAATGCTATACCAAAATGTTAATATTATAGGACCCATTAATCAATCAAACCAACTTTCCTTTTCTTTATATGGTTTTATAGTTTTACAGTATTTCCACATACACAAAAAGTACAGAAAAGGGGAGAACTAGGGACTACCTAGGAACAACCCTGGGCACCAGTACATGCTGGAGGCCGACTGGATGGAAAGCAGCTTTGTAGAAAATGACCTGTGGTTCCTTGTGGACAAGTTGAATATGAACCATCAATGTGCCCTTGTGGCAAAGGTAGCCAGCGGTATCCTGGGCTGCACTAGGAGGAATATTACCAGCAGGTCAAAGGAGGTGATCCTTCCCCTTTACTCAGCACTGGTGAGGCCACCTCTGGAGTGCTAAATCCAGTTCTGGGCTCCCCAGTGCAAGAGAGACATGGAGCTACTGGAGATAGAGTCCAGAGAAGGGCCACTAAGATGAAGGGACTGGAGAGCTGTGACTGCATAGCCTGGAGAAGAGAAGGCTCAGGGGGGATCTCATTAAGGTGAGCAAATATCTGAAGGGAGGGTATAAAGACGACAGAGCCAGGCTCTTTCCATTGGTGTCCACTAACAAGGCAAGAGACAACGGGCACAGACTGAAACACAGGAGGTTCCTCCTGAATGTAAGGAAACACTTTTTCACTGTGAGGGTGACAGAGCACAGGAACAGGTTGCCCAGAGATGTTGTGGAGTCTCCCTCCTTGGAAATATTCAAAAGTTGTCTGGACATAGTCCTGAGCAACCAGCTCCAAGTGAGCCTGCTTGAGCAGGGAGTTGGAGAAAATGATCTCCAGAGGACCCCTCCAACCACAACCACTCTGTGATTCTGTGAAAATGCCCTCTTTGTCAAAGACAAATAAGGGGGAAACTGATCATATTAAAAGGTCTACCAAATGCACAAATAGGAAAACTTTTACCTACAACAAATAGTGATACTGTAGGTAAACAAAAACTATTTTCCCATCGGAAGTCTGATTTTAACATCTCAACTATAACCAATAATGCTTTTTGCATTTATCCATCTCCTATATACTTTTTTAAAAAAAAAAATTGATAAACAATTTTGTATTGTTGTTCTTTAATTAAGGATTACAAAGAACATCAATTTTCCCTCCACCTCCTTTCTTCCTAGGAGTTTTCTCCTCTGTCATCCACGTGAAGAGTGTAACACTACTCTGAGCAAACTGGGGGAGAAGGCGGAGAGATGGTCAAACTACTAAGCTATGCTCTGGTTGAATAAATAAAGGCTGGTATCTTCCCCTTCTCTTGTGCAACAACAGCAGGTCAATCTGTAGGTGAGGGTGTACGTTTTTGGGGAGGGGAGAGTAAGTAGCATGTATGTATATGTATGCTAGCAACACCAGCATAATCAAACTGTGAGGACATGTGTTGCTGAGCAGAGCAAATTCCTGATAACAAGCAGAGTGGCAGGGCTCTAGCTATGGGGACCAGAAGCCAGCTGAGGGCAAGGAGCGTATGCCTGAGATACAAGATCTGGAGGGCAGCGTTAGGAGAATTGTGGCTGGGGTTGGCACAGATGGAGCTTGCGAAAGGTGCAAATGTTTTGGAGAGTATACAAAACAGACTGTTGTGGTCAAGGAAAGCTGGGTATATATGTTTGGAGCAGGCAAGACGACAGGGATATATGTACATGTGTGAATGGAGGAGTGAGAACAGGATACACCTAAAACACTAGAGAACCACTGAAAAAGAATGCCATAATCTGATAGTACTAATCCTACTGAGAAACTCTGTCCTAACAAGCAGTTCTGCAAATGGATGATCACATATATTCCTTAACAGGAGCCAATTCACTTTTTTCTTTCTGTTAAAAAGTTTGAAACTTGATTTATTTTTTACAGCTGTATTGGGTTTGTGTGGCAGGGGGACTACAGGGGTGGCTTCTGTGAAAAGCTGCTAGAAGCTTCCCCTATGTCTGATAGAGCCAATGCCAGCTGGCTCCAAGAGGGACCCCGCTGCTGGCCAAGGCTGAGCCAATCAGCAATGGTAGTAGCACCTCTGTGATAACATATTTAAGAAGGGGAAAAAAATCCACACAACTGCAGCCAGAGAGAGGAACGAGAATATGTGAGAGGAACAACTCTGCAGACACCAAGGTCAGTGAAAAAGGAGGGGGAGGAGGTGCTCCGGGCACCAGAGCAGAGATTCCCCTGCAGCCTGTGCTGAAGACCATGGTGAGGCAGGCTGTCCCCCTGCAGCCCATGGAGGTTAACAGTGGAGCAGATATC